ATTAAAGGAAGTATTGATCCGATTTAACCCATTTTGGACACAAAAACATACTATTATCGATCGTTTCATTTATTTATTTTATTATATGAATTTAAATTCTATATCTTACACATTAACCGATATTTTCGGTAATAAGTCAACTAGGATCCACATATTCACTACCTACGGGCTTCAACAGTTTTAGTTCGATTTAGAAAACTTTTGGTCACAAGCTGGCACACTTCAAGCGCATTATTTACGCAAAGTTGTACCCCGATACAATTATTGTTGCTTGATTTGCATAGTGGAAAGTGAAAGAATCAGATGGAATTCAAAATGGTTTTTTATGGAAAATAGGCGCGGTTGTAATCCGATTTCACCCATTTTCCCACGCACTGTAACATAGAAATACAAAAAGAATGTCATGTACCGAATTTGGTTGAAATCGGTTAAGCAAATCCCAAGATATGAGTTTTCACCTCAAAGATCCCTTGTATTTTGAAGTCGAATCCTATAAAGTCATCTCATACCATCCCTGAGGTAAAATTTAATGACTCTGGCGTGTTTAGCGCTGGATTTATCGCGCTGAGTGCATTTGTTCTCAGTGAATTTTGTTATTATAGCTTTAGCGGTTTAGGAGTAATGCACAATAAACCTATTAGGGGGATGGACTACGCCTACTTTTTAAAAAAAATTGTAAACTGCAGATGTCTTGTATCTTATTATGGAGCGTAGTTATGGCAATTTATATATTTTTGATTAATGTCGTGGTAGTGGTCCGATTACGCCCATCAGCAATACCAACAAAGCTATCTCAATTTTTACTCAAGTTTTCCGGATTTTAACTCGTCTCTTCATCCTGATATTGGTGAACAAAACCATTTACTCTGTAGCAACAGGTTGCGAGAAGACAGACTTTTCAATGATCCTTTTTAAAATTCTTTCAGAGGACAGGGAGGCTTAAAACTGAACCAAGTCTGTTTTTAAATCATTAGGATACGTTTCTTCCAAAAGTCTTTTTCTGTCAGACTTGATGGTGACAACTCATTCATTTAAGGAAATTAAAATTTCTCGTTAAGTCCGTTGTAAGCCTTTTGCCGTTTTGCTAATTCGTATATGAGTCTGTCTATGAGAACGAGAAATGTGTTAACCCTGAAGTAATCACTTGCAGCCATTCGAATATCTTATTCGGGGTTTCATCAAATCTCTTTTTTCCTTTTTGGTTGTCGTTTTCCCATCTCTTTTGTATATTGTTTTGATACACTCAATTCCATTGCCTTTTCTTCAAAATACTTAAAATGCTCTCGTTCAACTATGAAAAACTTACGAAGTGATTCGTAAAGTGATCAAATTTATATTAGAAGTCTGAATTTGAACATTCACGTTGTTTATTCTCTCCAGAAAAACCTTCCATGCAACAACTATTACTGCCGTTTCCAGTTTTTGGAAATTTTTGCCAGCGTTGTGTCGAGCTTACAAATAAGACGTAGATTTCCTGTAACAATATGAAAAACCATAAGATTCTGTAGTCGATTCAGCAGCTGCTACTAGATTTAAAGAATGAGCAGAACAAGGCACGTAAAAGGCCAAAGGTGCTTGGTCGCCAATTTTCGGTTGCAAGCCATTGAACACGCTAGACATGTTTGTGGCATAATCATATGACTATCCGCGACTGTCTTCAGTATTTATACCCAGTGTTTTTAGTTTTAAAGTAACGGCAGAAAAAATTTATTTAACTTTATGTCCTACTGACGACCAAAATTTAAGAAATATTTCACATGGTTTACCAGAATCCAAAACGTATCTAATAACGAGCGTGAGTTAATATATGTGGGCTATATCTGGTGTTGAATCGATGATTAGGGAAAAATATTTTGCTTTTTTTATTTCGTCTCCAATCTTCTTTAAAACTTTCTGACCCATCAAGAGAATAAATTCATCACAAGTGGTATTTGACAAGTAACTGGTACTCCCCTATCCTTGATTTCCAAACCGTTCAATATGATGAGCCATAAAAGAATCGAATTACGCTAATAGTTCCAAATCCATACAATAATTTCCATTATGTGGATCTCCAAATTTTTCTTTTTCCCCTTTAAAAGCGAGACCTCTTGAACACAATCCCTTCACGACAGCAACAACTCTCATCAGAACGTTTCTCCAGTAAGTCATTTCTTCATCAATCTCTACCTGCAATAAATTATCAAGTCGGTCATCAATCTTATTTCTATCTTTCAAACTAAGAATACTAGATTTATGACGCGCAGAGTTTCCATGCTGAGCTACTCGATGATCCGCATTTTTCTAGCCATTGAATCCTCCGTTCTCAAATTGAGTTCTATACTCCAATGGACCAAATGCCAAACACGGTCCAATATATACAGATCTATTACTTTCAGAATAAACTAACCAATTTCGATCTTTCACTTCATTACTTTTCATTTTTCTTTGGAAGATATTGGCAGAAAACAACGCTGATCCGCATATATTCTATCACTTTTAGAGAAGTCACAAGATTTGTTTTGATCAAAGCCGTACCTTGCGATCATCTCCCTCAAGTTATTGTCAATTATCCATAGCGTGGGATCTTTATTTAGACTTTTGATTGTTTATACTATTTCGGCGTCGTTAGGACTTGACGTTTGATTCTGAGACGAATCTTCAATTGTTGGACTTACAGATGATTCCTCTTCTGCCACACTGTTACAAACAGCAGAGTATGTATCGGTCTCATCTTCTTCAGATTGTATTGTATTAGGACTTATGTTTGAAGTTTCCGCACTCAAAATACTGCTTTTACTTTTATTTAAAAAAAAAAATGTTATTTACTGTTTGTCGAATGACTTCTTTCTGTTCTTCTTTGTTTAATTTCTGCTCTTTTTCTGTACTCGGCCCCACTAAGTCGCTTTCTCCTATCACTCATTCTGACAAATTTTGATTCAAGAACTGAAACTTTATTAAATAGTAAATTAAAAGTATCGTTTTCTGTACGTTATTTAATACGCTTTTATTAATTCAATTTTCACCGGTTTCCAGAAGTCTGATCAACTTGAAACTTTACAGACGTGTCAAGAACCGATGACAATGCAATAATTTAGTAACAGTTTCCCATTATTTAAAAGGTGAGCGTAACCCCGCCCACTAAATGGTGTAATGTATATATCTTCCAAGCCGCTAAAAATAACTCAACCAAATTTTCTGAGAGGAAGCCCTTTCATACGTGAAAATGGGCAAAATCAGAAAATAACCCCGCCCTCCCCATATAACAGTTATGTTAAATATACTAAAAGTGCGATAACTGACGAAATAAATGCGCCATAAGCATTAAATTTCATAAACAAGATGGTAGGGAAAAGCTTTATAGGAGATGGTGTAAAAATTCCTTTTAAGCGTGTTTTTTTAGTTTCTTTAAACTATCATTTATTACCAGTATTCTTTGTTCAGATTTCTAACTTTGAATACTTACCTAAGAAAAGCAAAACAGATAATTATAAGTATGATAAGACAAGAATTTTGAATTTTTTATACACTTTTGTTATTAAGTTAACAACTAAATTGATTAGCTTCTGGAATATTAATATCAATACGGAATATTAAAAACTTTAAGACGCAAACATCCGGAGTGACTTTCATTTTTTTTCACTTAAATGCAATAAATGGATGTATCGTCGCTTTATATCTGCCTCTCTTGCTCTCGAGCTCAAAACATCTACGCATCGAATGTATTCAACGGAATCTCGCTTCAACTAACGCACGGTAACCCGATTGCGCCGCACTCGTGATACCATTCGGCCTGTGACTTTTTAATTACTGAACGGTCATGTTTTGGCATTATAACCCATCTACGACTACGCGATAACATAGTACAAATGAAATAGTTAATTAGTAAAATGTACCGATTTTCTAATTACCGAACTGCCTAACTTTTTCATAGAGTTTCGTTTCACGTTGTCAAATAGCAATTGTCCACATATGATTCTATATTAAAAAAAAATAATCAATATTTTTTACAAATAAAAACAACTTTTTGAAATTTGATTCGATAATTTGCCAATTAAATCATCGATATAACATGATAATAAAATTGTGTTAGTAATATTAATAATTTTAGGGGCACAGATAAAAAAGTTTTTTAGCTGTAAATAAAAATTCTTGACTCTCAAATATGCATTTCTTTTGAAATTAAATTCTTGAATCAAATGTTAATTTCTGGTTTGAAGTTTATAATTTTTAAAACAAGAATTTACTTGCTTGCCGGTAGAAGATTACCCTTTAACCAAGAAAAAAATTCTTGTGACAAGAAAATTCCTTTCTTGATCTTTAAGTAGTCCCTCGCCCCAAACTCTAAAACTGAAAGGGGAACTCAGTTTAAATTTATGTAGATGAAAAAAACACATCATTGACCATTGACGATTTAGCGCAGTGGCGTGCGACTGACTCTGCTTCATACAGAGAAATCGTGAGCTCGATCCCGACGGACGTTAAATTCTTTTCAAGAACAACAATGCTTACAAATTAATTTGCTAACTTCTGAAAGCCCAAAGCTTATGCTAAGGCAAAAATATTATTGACACAAGAAAATTTACTTGACCCGAGACACAAATTTATTAAAGCAAGAATCTAAAATTTCTCAGAACAAGAAAATATACTTGAATCAAGGAAAAAAAGTTTACTTCGATCAAGAAAAGGAATTAAAAGACATTTTTTATTTAACTCAAGTAAATCGTTTTTTCTCTGTGCATAGAGGAAAACTTATAGTAATCATTAGTGAACAAAATATGTAAAATAATCTTAATTTCAATGCTAATATCGAATCACTGCTGCGATATTCTGAAAGTTCATAATGATTTGAGGATATTTCATAAAGCGTTTAGCAACTGTTCATAAATAGACGTTAAAGTATTTACTATATTGTCTGGAGTACTGTATATATTTTTTTAAATTTTTGTTAAAGACTCTAACGTCTGTAAAATTTTTACAACTTGTCTTCTCTGTACAAAAGTGAATTTTTTTTATTCCAGAAATCGAAATAAAAAATATTCGACCAAAATTTGCCGCCCTAGGCTACAGCTTACTCAGCTTGCTGATAAATCCTCCGCTGACAACAGTACAGATAAGACCTAAGCTTATAAGCCTACAGATGATGATGCTTATAATAAATTCACCCTGTATTCTAAAATTGTCAACAGATACATGAGTAGAGAAGTAAATTTCACATTTAGACAATGGATAATATTTAGTACGCATCAAAAGACAACAGCTGTGACCCAAATTGCTTAAAAATTAACCTATGCAGTGAAATCTGGAAAAATACCTTCATAAATAGGAGTCGAGCCGCAGTAAACCGATGCATTCTTTAAAGTAAATTCAAAATGAAGACACAGTTTTTAGTTCTAACTTTCTTAGGTGAATTTCGGAGTCTGAGTTCAAACTTTCCAAAGACACATATATAATATATTCTGTATTTCTCAAATTAACAGTGTTTTATCTACTCGCCAATGAAGCCTGCAACACGGACCAGGACCGTGCGATTTGTGTGAGCATGCTTAGGCGCTGTCAGGAGACCGAAGGCAGCAGACCCACTTCAAACCCAGAAGAGAGCTTGACCGCATTCAACACTCAGTGCCGAGCCCGAGTTGGTACCAGCTGGCGCGATGTATCTCGCTGTGATTTAGTGCGGGCAATCTGTGAACGTAAGTGCCTCCAATAGTGCTCTTCGCTTTACTAACTAATTTGTCTACAATCTGTTTCACAAAATTACAGTTACTATTGTGCGTTGCCAGAAGGTCACTTGTAGCAGTGTTCAGACGCTCATTTAGTAGAACTTACGCAACATGAAGACTATCCCATGATTTTAATTTTGAAGCATTTTACAAGCGAGGTTAATGTTTTTCTCCTTTAATTCCATGTAATAAAAATTTGTTTTTTTACTTCAACTTGCAATTGTTTTCTTTTTAACGGGCTAAGTAAGGTCCGTAGACAACACTTTTCCACAAAATATTGTTCACGTGATACATTTTAAAGAAATTACATGCGATTTAAAGACGCCACAAAACATTGCAGTCATTAAAACAACAAACGAATTATAACAAAGAAGACAGAAAGGTCAAACGTGATGTAATAAAACTTTTTTCTACGATTATTACGTCTCACAGAAATGACCATGTCTCTTCTGCAACACTTCACCAAGAGGTCACGCAACAAACAAGGATCGGCATTAATGTCAAGTGGATGCTTAGTAGGAAGAACATGTTCGCCTCATGAATTTTTGGGAAGCCGACGGCGCTCTTTGTTTGTATATCGCTCGCGATTCTTGGAAACACGTAGCGCAACAAGTGGTAGTGAGAAAACTACATATGTACAAGAAAAATTTGTTAACAGTACATAAATTTGGCGTGAGTACATACATATAATAACATACTTGAGTTTGTAGTGGAGTGTGAGGGGTTATATGATAATACTGAAAAACAACAAAGTAGAGCATTGTGTCAAATCACACTCGATTAAATTATATATTTGTAATTATGAATGAGTAATTCACTATTTGCTTACGAGAGAATTGTCTCTTCACGTTTTCAATGAAAAAGAAGCTTCCGTTGAAATGATCGGTGAAAGCATATTATAGCATAATTAGAGGCGCACATATAAAAAACTCTCAACTTTATGAAATTATAATAATTGAATTTTGAGGTATTGAAGTAAATTACACAAAGGGTTGGTCTATCCCATGCTCCAACTCTGTCTCGTTTAATTTTGGGGTAAGCGCGAACGAAAGATAATGGTTTACAATGCAGTAAAAAATTCATCGTTTTCATTATGGACTAATTTATAAGGTATAAACATAAACGCTTCGTTGTTCTTGGAACAATTCGAAAGAAAAACCAATGAAAGGCTTATATAATTGTAATCTGTCAATTAATTATTCTTCTTCGGAAAACAACAGCATATTCAGTTCGTTTAGTTTTTTTAACAGATATAAATGTTTTGAGTTTTCCTTTTCAATAACTACAACTATTTAAGACAAACAATTTCAAAAGTCAAAACACAAACGCTTTTAATTTTTTCACCAAACCTTATAACATTATGTCTAGAACAGCATTTATTAAGCACTGAAGTAATTAAATTTGGTTTCACTCACCGTTAAAGACGTTATTAAAAAACCAAGTTGATATAAAATCGAATTTAGGCGAAAGCGAAAGATGCGCTGTACTTCGGACGAATCGTTGCGAAAAAAGCGAGCGGGATCCTTTTTTTAGTCCCTTATATATTTCTTGATGTCTTCATGGTGGTGTGATCGTGGTGATTTTGTATTTGTGTGCGTGTTGGTGTACGGTGTAGTGATGTGGAATGTATGGTAAGTAGGTGTGGTGATGTGGATGTGAATTGATGTGGTGTACAGTGTCTTATGGTGAGGGGGGATTGAGTGGTCATTAAGCCATTCCGGCCCCCTTAGGCAAATGATTAGCCTAGTATTCGCTGCAGCTGTTATAGCGTTGCCACAACGCTGCTCAGACCCGTGGAACGACGTGGTTGCGGTCTAGGCTGTCGACGCCGTATTGATGTGGCATTTGGCGGGTGTACCGCACGAGTTGAGGTCTTGTTGCGCGGCTTCGAAGGGAAGGTGGCCGACCAACGTCGCGCCTCGAGATGCGATGAAGTAGTGTGTGATGTGGTCTGCTGCAAATTTGGCACAGACCCGTGGACACACACTCTTGAGTCCCATGCGTGTGCGATAGGCAGTTTAGACAGTGCCTGGGCAACTTGCGGTCGTTGCAATGGTCGCATACTTCTGAAAATCCAACAATGTTGCAGGCGATGTGGGCGCCGACAAATGGGACATCGTATACGAGGTGCCTCTGAAGACGGCGATGATAGCGTCGGTGAAGGTCGCGTTCCACTGCGAGGAACTGGTGCTGACATCTGTGTCGTTGCAGGTGCGCTTGCAGGGGCAGCTGCAGCTGCAGATCGGGGCGTTGGGGTAGGCCCCGTGCGTGGCACGTTGGTAGCCGAACGCACAGTTGGCGTGGGAGTAGTTGGCGTATCCACATCCATGTTAATCTGTATGAAAGAGTTGTTTAATTATGCAGATTTGTCATATAAAGGATATGGATGATGGTGCCACGTTATGTGGCATGAATGGGTCATCGTATTGATCGACCATTTTTTTATTAGTTATTTGTTATTTTTAACGGTTATTAACGAGTTTTTCGGTTTTTGCTTCTTGATTTGATTATTTTATTGTATTGCGGTAGTATCGGTTGATTGTTTGCGATTTGGTGTGTCGCAATTATCGGCGGTTGGGAGAAAGCATAGGTTTACGAGCGGTCTGGTTAGCGTTCCGCTTTGCGTCCGAAGAGCAACTACTCGTATGTGACCGTCGGAGCCGTAATGTAGCTTTTCTATGCGCCCCAGCCGCCATTCGGTAGGAGGTAGACAATCATCATTGATGATGACACAATCTCCAAGTTTTGGTGCTTGTTCAGGAGTCTTCCAACGGTATCGTTTGTGGAGATCCTTTATGTATTCTTCTTTCCATCGGCGGCTGAAATCGTGATGGAGAATTTTAATTCTTTCCCAGTGATTAAATAAGGATAGTGACTCCACGCCTGGCTCAGGTATGGCCAGAATGAGTGTTCCTTTGAAAAAGTCCCCTGGAGTTAAGGCTGTGAAATCGGAGGGATCTTGCGAGAGGATTGTGAGAGGCCGTGAATTGAGAACGGCTTCAATTCAAATTAATAATGTCGTGAATTCTTCGTAATTGAATTTGTAATTTCCAGCTACCTTTTTGAAGTGGAATTTGAAGCTTTTTATAGCTGATTCCCATAAACCACCCATATGAGGATCGCTTGGGGGGATGAATTGCCAATAAATGCCTTGGGGCGCGTACTTTTGTACAATCTCAGGTGAGACTTGTTTGATAAAGTCCACAAACTGTTTTTCGGTGGCTCTTTGAGCGCCGATAAAAGTTTTACCATTATCGCTCAATATCTTCGATAGAAAGCCGCGTCGACCGACGAAGCGAGCAAATGCCGCAAGGAAAGCCTCCTTCGTCAGATTAGTACAAAGCTCAAGGTGCACTGCTTTTGTCGTAAAACATGAAGCATTAATATGTGGATATAATTGATGAGTAAATTGAGACTTCTCTGGTACAATTATAGGATGGCGTTCATTATACGTTAGGCTTGAATTGGCAAGCCGCCAATTCGCACGAAGCAGACCTTTCGTGTCTAGGAATGGGTTAAGAACTAAGAGTGAACTCCTTTTGTCAATGGGTTTTGATTCTCTTAATAGTGTTAAATCGCGGCTGAAGTAGCGCATTTGAGTTGATGCGATTAGAGTGACCTTTGCCTTTGGCAATTCTAGGTGCGTCAATGTATCGCATTGGGGATATTCTGAGGGAACTAACTTAACTTTAATTTTAAGTCGTTCTATGAACTTTAACATATATGCGATTACTCTTAGGGCTCGGGAGAACGATGAAAATCGCGCAAGGATGTCAGTATCCTCCACTGATGTGTGAAAGGAGTCGATTTTTCGACTTTCTGGGGCAATTATATTGCGCATGGGCGATTGTGGCCAAGAATCAGGAGATTCTGTTAACCATCGGGGACCATTCCTCCAGAGGGTGGTGGTGGCAAGGTGCAGGGGTTTGCACCCTCTTGTACCTAGATCCGCTGGATTGGCAGCACTGGCTACGTGTCGCCAGGTGGCTGATCCTACTAGGTCAAGTATTTGAGACGGTCGATTGGAAATATACGTCTTCCATGCATATGGTGGTTTTTCTAGCCAGGCTAGTACAATTTCCGAATCGGACCACAGATATAGTTTGTATTTTGCACCGTTTAAATGCATTCGCATAATGGATACTAATTTGGCTAGTAGTAGCGCTCCACACAGCTAAAGTCGTGGTAGACTTATTGTTTTTAAAGGAGCTACTTTTGCTTTTGCTACTAGTAAGGGGCTTGTGGTCGCAATGTCGCTTTGTGTGCGTAGGTATATAGTGGCGCAATTTGCCTTTTCAGAGGCGTCACAGAAGCCGTGTAGCATAGTTTACCCATCGTGGGATTTGTATCTGTGAGATATGGTTTAGATTGTTCGCAAACTGGGACCACTTTTCTAAACGAAGTGGTTTTACTTGTTCGTCCCAGTCGGTTTCATGTAGCCATAATTCTTGTATTAGGATTTTGGCTTGTATCATAACTGGCAAAAGCCATCCTGCGGGGTCGAAAAGTTTTGCCACAGAGGATAGAATTTGTCGGTTCGTTATGGCGGATAATGCAGATATTGACTCTGCAGTGTATGAAAACTGGTCAGATATCGCATTCCATTGGATCCCCAGAGTTTTTGTTGTACTTTCCTTTTCGAATTTTAGGAAATTAGTATCTAACAAAGACTGTGACTTCTAGACAAGATATCGTCTACATATGTTTGTGTTTTTAACACCTGGGTTGCCAGAGGAAATTCTGACTTGGTATTTTCTGGCAATTCGTGCAGTGTTCGAATGGCTAAATATAGAGCACAGGTGAGGCCACGGGTAACTGTTTTCAATTTATAGTCGCAGAGTGGACTATTGGGAGATTTTCGGAAAATAATTCGCTGAAAATCTTGATCTTCTTTATGTACGACTATTTGTCTATATATTTTTCGACGTCTCCGTTAAATACGTATTTGAATATACGCCAATTTAAAATGAGTAGCATTAAATCTGGTTGGAGCGTGGGTTCCGTAAATAGGATATCATTTAGGGAATTCCCCGAGCTGATGGATCTTCATGCATGAAAGACAACTCTTACTTTAGTTGTTTTTTTGTCTGGTTTTACCACTGCATGATGCGGCAAGTAAAATGAGTAGTATTTGCCGTTAATGATTTTTTCACATGGGCTTATTTCCTCCATGTGGTCTAAATGGAGGTATTCTTCCAACACACCATCATATTCTGGTGTAAGTTCGCCCTTTTTAATAAATTTTTTTCCATACTTTGAAACTGCTGTATTGCAGAGGGGCGAGAGTGACCTAAGGCGATTGTGTTGGGAAATTGTTGTTTTAGTCGTAGTCGTACGACGTACCGACCATTATTTCATCTAGTAGTTGTGGCTTTGTAAAAGTCTTCACAATAATGATCTTCTGGGGTTGTAATTGATATAGGGGAGAGCTCTTCTAACTCCCAAAATTTCTTGATTTTTAAAAAAGCTTCTATTTAAATTGTTGTTGCTACTGGTTTGCGGTCTATTGAAGCTTCTATTGCGGTCGTTTTGAACGTTTTTAATTCTAACTAGTTTTTGTCTACCCTTTCTGCTATTTCATATTAGGTAGTTAGAAATTCTTTCATTTGCTACCACGTTTGGCATTTTTTTCGAGATGAGAGCGATTGCTCCCGCAAAAGTAACGATTTTTCTGGTAATGCTGCGGTGCATATATTTACCAGAATAGGGTCCCAGCTGTCTGTGGGAATGTTTTGTGTCGATAAAACCGACAAACAATTAGAAACAGTGGATTGTAGTCTAATATATCCATCACTTGTTTCTTTCTGAATTTTAGGCAAGTTCATTATTATCGTTACTTGCTTATCGACCAATATTCTTTCATTTTCGTATCTTTCTTTCCAAGCCAGATTGAAATTATCGTCATTTAGTACGAACTGTTTGACTATGACGCCTGCTTGACCTTTCGTTTTGCATCGGAGGTGATACAATTTTTGTGCATTTGATAATTTTGGGTGGTGTATGTAAACGGCTGTAAACATGTCCGGAAAGGACGGCCATTGTTCATAACCACCGTGAAAGATTTCTGTATCACATGCGGACACCTTGAGATGAAAGCCTGAATTTGTCTCTTGACGTTAAATTTGTGGCAGCTCTACTCTCAGTTGTGGAGTAGATGCAATTGCTTTAATTAATTTTAATTGATCCGAAATCATTGCTTTTGTTTCTTCAAACTGGTCTAAGCAGTTTTCGTACTTGGCGTAAGCCTAAGATTTAAAATTCTTCATTCAGATTCTACTATTGCGTCATATGCAGCTTGGAGACTTGTCCAGAAATTATCAAGATTTTCCTTTTTGATTTCTAATACCGATTCAGAATTGTCCTGAATCGGCGAAGATAAAAATCGAGTGCAGTATCGTATTAGATTGTCCTCTCAGAGATAAATTTGGTTTATGAAATATCTTTCACCCGTTTTGGTTTTGTAGTACCTTGCTTTGAGCATGTAGCTTCTGCAGGTGTACATGGACTCTTTTCTTCAGAAATCATTTTATGTACTTTTAGATACTGTGTTATTTTCGATTCTTTTGAATCTGAGCTGATTTAGAAAATAGTGAAATAAATTTAAAATTCCTCAGTGTCGACCGATGGAATT